TATCAGACATTCCAGTTATTTTGTAGTAGTTTTCCTTCCATTGTCTCTAATTGGAATGCTCCTTTATTTGTTGCTGCTATGATTTTATATGGCCCCTCCCAGTTTGTTCCCAGTTTCCTTTCATTCGGGTCTTTCGCTGCTTGTGTTTTGGCTTTGAGAACATAGTCCCCAACTCTGAGTGGTCGTACTTTGGCTTTCTTGTTATAGTACCTTTCTGTTTGTTATTTTTGGGCTATCATTCTTATGTGAGCCATATCCCTTCGCTCTTCGACTTCATCCAGGTCTTGTAACCTGCTTTCATCGTTGCTTGGTCAACTCTCATTGGAGTATCGCAGGCTAGGTTCTCCAACCTCGACGGGTATAACTGCGTCAGTACCGTAGACTAACGAATACGACGTCTCGCCTGTGTTGGTTTTTGGCGTGGTACGACATGCCCATAGTACCTCTGGTAGCAGTTCTGGTCATAGCCCCTTGGCGTCCTTGAGCTTTTTCTTCAATACATTAAATATTGTTTTGTTGGAGGATTCAGCTTGACCGTTACAGGCGGGATGGTATGGCGTGGAGAGTGTCCGTTTAATGCGCCATTTTTTCAAAAAACTCGGTCGTTTTCTTCCCGACGAATTGAGGTCCGTTAACGCAGCTGATTTCTTTGGGAATGCCGAAGCGGCATATTATATTTTTCCATATGAATGTGATGACTTCTTGCTCGCATATTTGGGTGTTCGCACCTGCTTCCACAAATAATCAATTAAAACCAAAAGGAAACGTACCTTAGCTTGTCCTATTGGGAGGTGTCCGACGATATCCATTCCCCACTTTATGAATGGCCATGATGAAGTGACGGAATGCAGGAGTTCTACTGCTTGGTGTATCATAAGGGCGCATTTTTGGCATTGCTCACATTTCTTGACGTAATCCATGTCTTCTTTTTTCACGATAGGCCAGTAGTATCCTGCGCGGATGATGCATCTAACGAGGGTTCAGTTTCTTGTATGGGCACCGCAGTGACCCTCATGTACTTCTTCTAGCACCCGCCTTGTTTGATTTGGCCCAAGGCATTTGGCCAGTGGACCGCCGAACGTCCTTTTGTAAAGGTCATGGTTTACGAGGCTGTACCTGGACACCTGTATCCGAAGCTTTTTGGCTTCTTTCTTATCTTGTGGGAGCGTCCCCTCCTGTAAATATGTTATGATACAGTTGCGTCAGTCCCAAGTTAAATTTATAGAATGTACCTCGACCTGGTCTATTGAGGAATGGAGGAGGGTGACCACATTTTCTTTGTTGATATTTCTGGTAGCTGCCGCTAGTTTGGCGAGACCGTCTGCTTCGATGTTCTACGCCCGGGGTATCTGGTCGAGGAGGCATTCGTCGAATTCTGGTAGTAGTTTGTGAATTTCTGTCTGGTACTTCTGCAGTCTCTGTTCCTTGATTTGGAAAGTCCCAGTGACTTGATTTACCACGAGTTAGGAGTCATAGTAAAGGACGAGTCGTCGAACGCCATACTTGAGGGCTAATTTCAATCCTGCAATTACGGCCTCATACTTGGCCTTGTTGTTAGTCATTTAGGGACACCGTATGGATTGGCGTATCATTTCGACCGAGTTGATCTTTGAACATTTTTGTGACTAACCTTTGGTATGTTGCCCCCGCGTTCTTAAGTCCGAACGACATGAATCTATAGCAATACGTTCCTCGGTGAGTGATAAAAGTAGTTTTTTCTTGGTCTTCTTCTGCCATTAGAATTTGGTTGTAACTAGAATAGGCATCTAAGAAGCTTAGCAACTTGTGCCCCACTGTTGCATCGATGAGCTGGTCGATGTGTGGTAACGGAAAGGAATCTTTTGGGCATGCTTTGTTTAGGTCGGTAAAGTCGACACACATCCGCCACTTTCCACTTTCCATTTTTCTTTTTCACCATGACCACATTGGCGACCCACTGAGGATACTTTGACCACATTGACCGTTTGAGTTTGTGTGTAGTGGTGAACTTTACGTGGTTGATTGCCGTATCATCGCCACCGCCGATGATCATCTGTATAGTACGAGCGGGTGAAGGTGGTTTTGGGGGTCCCTAATGTTGATCGCGCCCTCGAGCAAAGGTAGCCCGTCCTCGATCGCTCAACAGCTCTTTCAGGTGTCCTGGCTTAACATTCTTACTACTTCCTGCCACAGGCCTATGCAGTCTTCGGTCTTATGCCCCCTTTCCTGATGGAATTCGCACAGAACATTCGATTTTCGGGTGGTCGGGTCATATTTCATCTTTTATGGCCATTGCACCTTTGTGCCGAGCTTCTCTAGTGCATACAATATTTCTGAAGAAGAAACACAAAAGTTATGAGCAAATAATAGTGGAGGCATACCTCTTTCGTTTCGGTATGGCACAACATGTCGAGGAGTGATTTCTGCGTGTCATGAAGGAAGTGGGATATATGTCGGGATGTAAGGCTAATGCCTCTCTCGACCAAGACGGGGTAGTTGATCCCTTCGGCCATCGTTGCGGCGATCTTTCCTTGTTTCATTTTGGACTGATGTCAGCCATTAGATCGGACCATTGAGGTTGTCCTTGTCTACCCTTACTCCGGCACAATAGGCATTGTGGATTTCTTCCCAAGTGGTGGGAGGGTATTTCATGAGCCGATTTAACAGCTTTTTGGTCGCTTTCGACCCATTCCTGCTTAACCCATTTTGGAAGGCTGCTACCGCCATCCCCTCTGATACATTTGGTAGGCTCATTCTCACCCTGTTGAATCTGGCTAGGAAGTCCCTAAGTCCTTCACCCGTCGTCTGTCTAACGTCAAAGATGTCATTTACCCTGGCTTATGCCTTTTTCGCTCCTGCATGAGCGATGACAAATTTGTCTGCCATTTCTTTGAATGTTGATATTGATCGTGCTGGCAATTGTGAGTACCAAGTCAGCATTCCCCCTGTCAGGGTCTCGTCGAACTTTTTCAGCAACACCATGACACTTGTTCTTTCGATAGATTGTTGCCTTTTATGGCTGTGACATAGCGGATTATGTGATCTTTCGGGTCCGAAGTACCATCATATATTTTCAAGTATGGTGGCATTTTGAAGGTTTTTGGAATGGCGTGGGGGGCTTCCCCTTCATTGTATGGTTGCTCGACGAATCAATCGACGTCTCGTTTTGGTAGTAACTTCGGAGCGCTCGGTATTTTATCAACCCTTTCTTGATGCTCATTCATCTGATCACGGAGCGCCTTGTTCTCATTTTCCATTTCCTCCATTTTCTTTAGGATGGTTGTGAGTGTGTCGTTACCTGCATCAACAATAATATGAGTGTTACCTGTGCGTGGAGTTTCTAGTTCGCCGACTGTTACTGCGTCTGCGTGCATTGTGCCTCCGATATCCCTTTGAACGAGTTTATCAGAGTGTTTGTCAGCCACTCTTCCAATAGCCTTTTAACAGCTGGTGGTGCTTCTCATGTTGCGGATGTCTAGGCTTCCTTCTCGCGCGAAGTGGTTACGCTTTCATGTGGGGGAGGTGAAGCTTCTCCTCTAGGTGTGGCATTTGGTGTTCCGTTTTCATTCTCCTCCCTGCTGTCTTCGTCGATGGTATTTAGGATGTTGGTTGAAACACCTACTATTGCTTTCAGCCTTGTATCTCCTTTCCCTGTCATTGTTAACTTGTGCAAAGCTAGGAAGAAGCGATTGTCTCTTTCAAGCATTAGTTTATGCAAAGCTAGATGAAACTAAAATCTTAGCTAAAGAACTCCCCACAGACGGCGCCAAATTGTTTGACCCAAAAGATATTGAAACTTTTTTAATTAAATCAATTAATGAAGGTGAAGAGGTAAATCTTAGCTAAGTGTAATAAAATCTAGATTGAATAGTGTAAGAGAAAGACAAGGTGAAACGATGCTTCCTAGTGTGTTGGAAACAAATGATTATTCATAAATGCGAGAATTTGAGATGTAAGAGAATATAGCAATGAATGCAATTAATTAAGACCAAGGATGATGTAACGATTTTTTGATTTGTAATAAGCAAAATGCCCCCCTTTTACAGAGTGTTCTCCTTTCTTTTTATAGGGGACAATCCCCCTTTTTACCTCAAAAAGGTACAACACAAGAAATATTCGAAAGACATATTCCCATTGTTCCCTATCATGCTAACACTACTACTACAGACGATGTGTATTCTGTAGCCACTGTTAGTTGTCACCCTTCATAACGATCGAAGAACGCTGCATTGTAAGGACCTCGTTCTTTGCTACACTCGGTAATAGTCGTGGTCGTCCAAATTTCGACCTAATACATATACGAAATAAGAGCCTTCAAATATCTTTGCAAGTCACGTCTATTCCTTATGAAATAACAATACATTTTCGTGTTATCTCAATATCGTTTGTCGCATCGGATAGAATTTATTTCGACCAATCTAGATTACATATTCAAGAATTGTCCTTAATATCAAGCACTTCAATAATCATGACCTTCCCAACAAATTGAATCAGATATCCATAAACATTTTAACAATTTCTTATAGCTATTACTGCAATACCAATATTTACCTTCCTTGAATCTGCATGTAACCCTGCATCTGTAAACAATAATATGTTAGCTCAGAAAACAATTACTAGCATGCAAATATTAAAGCTGTAGTGGCAAAATGCTACTAGTATATATCAACCAAAGATCTTTTCTCTTTTCTTTTAATTTTTTTTCTT